GATTCAGGCACTGTTAAAATGAATAAAATAAAATGTTTACTAAAAAACTACTTACACCATACTTTCGTGTAAGTAATTTGTTGCTGTATCAGGATTTAACATTTAGGGGAACATTTGTGCATTTAGATCAATACGAAAATTTAAGGTGTAGGTATACTGAGGAAATTAAATTTGACACTTAATTACACAATATTTGAAGATGAAAGAGCGATAATAACAACCACGTATTAAATTTGTGCTCATTCGTGACTAGTGGATCTCAATTAATCCCAGAATTTAGTCTTGTAAGAGACAAAAGAAGTTTTCACCGACTTTTCTAATTGTAACGAGTAACGACAATTGAAACACCAGTTAGGCTAAGTCTAAATCACATTGGAACGCTGTCCTAATATCCTAGGCAATTACAATTTTTAAACTAGGCATGGACGAAGAGGTTTTGAGTAGGTAGTGGAGAACTTCCATTCTTATTTTGATCAATTATTGTCCATAAAGTGGTACCTACTAAAAAATCAGTTAGTAAACAACCATCAATCTGGTTAACTCAATTGGCAAGTTCTTCAAAGGGAACGAAAATTTTAGTCAGCAGGTGAAATTCGAAAATGCGAGTTGATATTATGCAACGAAAAATTAGGTTCAGTTTTCCACTTTCCTATTGTACAGAATTCTGTTGGGATATAAAGAATGAAGAAAAAGTGGAAATTGGTTCAGCAAGAACTAGTTCGATGAGATTGCGTTGACCATTTTTAAACTACGTCGATCTACTTTAATTGCAATTTATTCACGGTTAATTTGTTATGGTTCAAATTATCCATTAGCTAAAGGTTCGGGCTTCTGCAATTGACAATAGGGAGGAAACGGGTTAGTAGATTGCGAAACTCGTTTATTTAAAACGGCGCGTATTAATAAACTACTTAGGTGAAGCGGAGCTGTACGACGTTAATAATTGTTTAAGTGCATTTGTAACGTTTTCAGTGTGCAATTTGTAAACGTGGGTGCGTTTCGCGTCCTTGTCGAGAAATTTGAGCGTTTTCTGTACTAGAAAAATAATATTTTTATCGATAATCGGCATAGACAAGAATGTGGGAACGTAGTAGAAGTGCAATGTTGCATAAGCGCACAACAGAGTGTGTTGCGCTAGGTCGGCGTCGAGACGCTCGCAAACCATCAGCCGGTGCATTTCCGAATGCGCCACCGCGCGAGTGCTCCCGCCAAAATAGTGCGATACTTAGGTGCGTTTCTTTGCTGTGCGTAAACCGTATAAAAACAAATCGACAAAATTTTGAAACGAAATGGCCCCTTAAAATTCGCATTGCAAGAAATCAAAGTGAGTAAAATTAACAATAATAACAAGCCTCAATTTATTGTTAACACGAGCGAGTGTAAATCCGCGCGCAATTAAACAAAATTCAATCACCAAAAGTGCTAGTTACAAATTCGTCTTTTACAAATCTCAACCCCGAAGACCCATTCAAATTTCGCGGGCAACCCAGGGCGGACTTTTCAAAAAGGACCAAGTAACCAAGTCAAGGTTACCAAAATCGTGATGCAAACCCTCCAGCTGCACAAAAGTAAAAGGTAATAATAACACTATTATTGATCGCGCTATTTTTGGATGACCACTAAAACAATTTCACTATCAAACTGGCAAGGGTTTTTTTTTGGCGACAATTAGACGCGATCGTGACCGAGTTTTCGAAACAGCCACGCGCCGTGTGCGTTAAAACCCTAAGCGTGAAAATCCAAAAAACCGGGGGAAAACGAAAAATTTTGCACTGTTCAATACGATCAAAAGTGAAAATTCAAAATGGCTGCCACTTCGCTTCCGTTGATAACACGTAGAAAACGACGCCCTTCAAGATTGTTATTTTAAAATCGAATTCAAGGTAAATTTGTTGCAGTCTATATGTTTTATTGTTCATGCTTGCGCTTTGGTGTCACTTGCAAAATGATGTACTTTTTTTGGGTTGGCTTGGTACATTTTTGGATTTTATTGTTTATTTCTTCATTTAGGCTATTAAAGCTGATTTATGTGCAATTTAATGTTGAGGTCATAAAATGACAAATAAAATAAACAATTATTTCTAATAATTAATATTCAGTTTCAAGTGCATCTCAAGGTTAATGCTAAATGTGTAGCAATTCTGCAGTCACATTATTATGCACATTTGAACGTAATAGTATTATTAGTTTTGCGATAAACTTATGGCATTTTTTCGATTTAGGCCGTTTCGTCCAAAACCTTGACGGATCAATAGATTTCGGTTGTTACTACGCATTACGTTTGTATGGAAAAAAAATGGATGAAGCCAATCAAGCTTCTCCTTTGGTGCATCGTATGAGTATTATTTACAGAAAAAAGGGAAACTGATATGGTGGGAGTATACTCGTTAGGAGATGATTCGAGGAAACAACCTACGAACATTTTTGACATTGTGGGTCATTAAGATGCGATAAAATCCTTAAAAAGTGAAAAACTGAAAGGAAAAAATGGTGAAATGGAAACGATTCATGTCGTGATATACACGTGCCAATTGAGATCTGTGGTATAAAGATTATGTTAGTGTAAGCAATTTTGCATGTCACATACCAAATGTTGCAGTACGCAAACAGCCTAAAAACACCGGTTTAACCTAAAGCGAAAGGGTTAGTTACTAGTGCCTCTCAAGGTCCCAAGGGATCAGAAATACTTTTCGCAATGCATAATGAAGTGAAGGTATAAATTGATTAATGCTTCGCACAGTTGATGTGTGAGCCATTGGAGAATACTATACTAGCTCACAACTAAGCTTCAATTAGTTACAAAAGTCATCTCAGATCAAAGGCTAAGGATTTCTTCGGTTAGGGGACTTATTTAAGTCATTCAGAGTTGATCATATGAGCTTGTGTCCCAAAACCCACCTCTGATTACCAAGTAAATTCATAATACCAGTTCATATCTAAGTCAAAATGGGCTTCCGAATTTAGTTGTTTAATGCGTAGATTCATTTGTGAATTAAATAGAGGCTGAATTAAATAGAGGGGAGGGGCAGAATTGATCAATTATCGAAGAGACATTATTGTTTCACAGCAAGGTGCCTAAATCAAAACCATTTTATGAAACTAACTGTAGATTGTTTGTCAAAAATACCGTTTACTCACAGTTCTTAGGTTCATGGAGAGTGGGAAAGGTTTTAAATCATAAAGCAAGCACGAGACCAACACCTTAGGTAATTGTGTATAGGTATTCGTAAATCTTAGACGAGTTGAAGAGTGCCACTGAGATCTTTTTAATTTGAGTAAGACCTGGCGTTTATTGGTATTGAAACTGTGAAGATAATTTTTTGAAATACTCTATTTTTTTGACTTTAAAGACTAATAGTTAAAGATGGATAGTTAACGTTCATGTATAAATGGATGAGGAATTGTATGCTCTTTCTAAGAACCACGCGGAAATTTTGGAAATTTGGGAAAATTTCCTATGAGTTGCTTTTTAAATTTTGTTTGTTAATGTGGCACGTTATTTTAGCTCTTTCCATAGATTCAGTAATTATAGAACAATTGTTTTAGATACGTTCAGATACATTATCAGTAAAGAATAAAAAATTACTTAGAAATCGCAATCAATCTCTCTTCAACGACACTTAAAAATCAACTCCTACTTATAGATAACACTGGGGAACAGTAATTTTGCGGCATGGCAGATTGAAGTCAATTCTGTATCAGACTAGTGTGCTGAATACTGGAAAAATATCAGATTTGTAAAATTGGCTCCAGTTTTTGAGATAAAAACTATTAACTATTTCAATAAAAATTTTAGTAAAAATACCAATTTGCACTGAAAAAATACTCTTATTAAGTTGATCTTTAGGAATGAAACAAAAACAAATATATCTATGCAGTTCACTGACGAAATTTAATTTTCTGCTATGGTTCTGCTCAAGACAATCCCTTACTAAGGTCCAGCAGTAGTCTGCCATCATGTGGCGGTCCCATCGACCTTGGTATCTTTCTTCCATGACCCTAATGTCCTGGTGGAACCGTTCTCCTTGTTCCTCGCTGTAATCGCCCACATTATCCGGGAATCTATCTAAATGACAATGCAAAAAGTGCACTTTAATGCTCATATTAGCTCCTAATTTGTTAAAATTTTGAAGCATTTTAGTGACTAGTTTTGCATAGTCTGGAGCTTTATGATTCCCTAAGAAATTTTTGATTACTAAAACAAAGCTTAACCATGCCTCAGATTCAATTTGTGTCATATAGTTCACGAATTCAGTATCTTTTATAAGTGTTCGGATTTGGGGTCCATCGAAGATGCCCGCTTTCAACTTTTACATACTTAGAGCTGGAAATGTTTTACACACATACTTAAAACAGTCACCCGTCTTATCAAGGGCTTTGATGAACTGTTTCATTAGCCCGAGCTTGATGTGAAGTGGTGGAAAAAGGATAATTTTTGGGTTTAGCATTGGTTTAGAATCACATTTGATTTTCCTACCTCCATATTGACGAACTGATAATTTCGGTCTAATAGCTGATCAATGAAATATTTACTACTAAATCCATGAATAGATAACCAAACTTAGATGGAAATATTCAAATAAATACAACTTTAGAAGGGTAGTTTAAAATTTTGCATTGATTTATTACGTTTCGTTTATCCCAAGAACCAGAATCAATCCAAAAAAACTAAATGCATATAGTGTATATCAAATACCAGTGTTTATAAAATTCATTAATAAAATTAGTGCCGCAGACATTTTTATTTTTTTTGTTCCGCTGTGTAATTTTGCATTAAATTTCGATGTACAGTCATTAATTATATTCAATTCCCAGATGAAATTTTGATTTTAATTGGAAACAAAATCAAATTAGCATATTACAAACCGTAATTTGTAACTTTTACAGGTAGTTCTAATCATATGAGCGCAAAATTTAAAGAAATCCTCAGATTCATAGTTCTTACTTTCCTAGACCTATCCAAGAGAGTAGCCTAATCTTGAAATGGGATGTAATATATCTTCCCTTATGTTTTGAAATTGAAGGAGGACGTGGCACCTTCTTCTCGCAGTCTCAAAACGAAAAAGTTCGAAGATTGACTTAAACTTAGGATTATTAAGGAAATTTTTGAAAATCTGTTATTTAATCGTGTAACAAATTGGTTTTCCAACTAATTCGATTTCACTAAATCCGAATTTTTAAGACCCAAAGCCAATATGTCCCGAAAAGTTCAGCTTTGCACGTTGGAGACACCAGAATTTTTATTTTGTTAATGCTTAGAGAATTTGTCATATAAATTCGTTGCTGACGATTATAATACGGGGCGAAAATATTCACGTACAGGGACTGGAAAGGAAATCTTGTTTGATTTGAATACAATACATTTTGTCACCTCAGTTCATGAGTAACCGCTTCAAGTTTCCACTTTTTCCCAAAAGTACACGCCTTGATTGGGTTAAGACCATGGATTGGGTTCTTTTGAATACTACGAGGTGTGGCAGAAAAGTACTGAACCTGATTTTCTATTTACCAAAAGTTTTTGGTTTTTTAAAACATCAACGTTATTCCTTTTAAAGTAGTTCCTCTGGGTAGTTACGCACCGATGGAGACTTTGTCACACTTTTGGTAGCAGCGCTGGAAGTCTTCAACTGGTATGGCCTTCAGCAAGTCCGTTACACTCTTTCGATTGCTCCGAAATGCCGTCTTTGGAGGACATTTTTCAGTTTAGGAAAAAGTCTGCAATGTCTGGTTTCACGCGAATTTGACTGACAGTTTGTGCTGGATAGGGATGAAAACTAGCCGAGCCGAACTTTTAGAAAACTTGGTTCAGCTCGAAATTATGGATGTCCAGTTCGGTTCATGCTTTAATATCCGGTAAGTTTGGAGACGTTGACGTGTAGTTATGCCGTTCAAGTTTCCTTTGCAGTTCAGCTCTTTACGTTTAAATCAAACCTGGTTTGATTTTCCCAATTTTCACTTACCCTTCAACTTTAAGGGTAGAAATCCTGACGTTTATGCACATTTCATTGTAATGTCACTTGAATTTATGTTTTCCAGTTAACTTCAACCGTATAACCACATTTATTAGACCGATGATGACAGAATTGTGGAAACATGTAGCTTGCATTATCCCTAAATTGCTAACTATAAAGTCATATCTACTTCACCTTTAATTGTTTATCAAAGAAAGTATGGGGAAGGTTTAGAATTCATTACTCCATTTACCACACGCCCCCATTTTGAGGACGAAACCGAATTATAGACCACAATTATGTAACATAACTGGAAACGAAACCATATTTAATAGGGTAAAAATATTAAATTACACACATAGGCAAAATTAATATGTAAATTCTGAATAAATTCAGTCTCGGAAGCTCGGAACGAGGAGCTCGACTCGAAGAAGACACAGATCGGATCGAAGCTCGGCTCGAATGAAATAAGTTGAGCTCGACTGGAAGGCTCGGCTCGTTTTCGAGCTCGAGTACGTGTCTTGGATGAAAAAATTCTTTGTAGACGATTCCCCTTCTGTCAAAAAAACAAATCAGCTTTCTTAAGTTTCTCAATTTGCCTCTTGGTCTCAGGATTGTATTAAAAAATCCATGATTCATCACCTGTGAGCATACGACTAATTAAATCTGGCTCGTTGGTGATTCTGTCAAGAAGATCAAAACCCTCGTTTTTTTCGATTGTTCTTCTGCTCAGTTGTAAGGGTTTTCGGTACCATTCTTTCACCGATCTTTCGCATGTGCACATTGTTTAGTCAAAATTGGGTCAACGGTGTGAATTCACAAGTGTTTACACGTTCGTGTTTGCGTCGGTTTTCAAAGTTGAAAGCCTCCCTGAACGGTGTTTACCCTCAGCGAAAATGATTTGTGCCAGCGAAAACTTGAGCTCGAGATAAAGTATGTTCCTTATAGGTTTGCTTTGCTTTACCTTCTCAAATGTCAAAATTTATTAGTACAACTCCAAATTCCTGATTCTATTTTGCGTAACGCACAATCAAAAAACAACTTCACTGATAGCAGTCACGGACAGCAGTCCGAAAACTGATGTAGTTAAAGAAAGGAGATGAAACTGGCAGTGAACGATGGGATGGGTATACTCGGAATTTTACAGTCGTGTAATGACGTCATTTTCGTGGGAAAAAACGTATGTCCTATTAAATTTATTTGTTGCTAAGTAACTGACTACTGGTGTCTAATTACCTGTATGACTTTTACTATACAGTGGTGTACATAATATTTTAGCATTTTTTGATAATAATTAAGTCAATTTCCACAAGAAATCTATAGGTCTTAATAAAAGAAGAAGTCCTAATTAACTGACTGACTGACTGAGATATCAACGCACAGCCTAAACGACTGAAGATATCGAAAATAAATTTTTAACATGTTAAAAAATGCGAATAGTTCATATTTTTTGCGAGCGAAACCGCGATGGATAAAATGTTAGTATTTCAAAAAAGGTCATTTACTCACTAATTATTTTAATAACTTGCTCAACTAACATATAAGTAATATTAACATATTTTTGTTTTTAAATAAATAAAGATTAACAAAACGAAAATCACAGAATATTATTTAGGAATCAATACTCCCGAAAAGACCCAAAAAATAATTAGCAGAGGAGTACATAAAAATTCAAAGAACCACTATCGAAACCACATCTACACAAGAAAAAATTGCACTACCTTGATGAATAGTTGGAAAATCAAAATCGTAAAACAAAAATATACCAATGCCAATTTATTGCAATTGTAATGGTCACAGTATTAGAAGAAAATTAGTCGCCCTCGTCCGTATCGTCAGAGTCAAAATCAAAGTATTCGTCGTCAGTAAGGTCGTCATCTGCGTCTGTAGTGATAACAAGAGGCGGGATGTCAGAAGCATCACAAACTTGTACTGCTCCCCAAGCCTCTTGTATTACTTTGTCCGTATGGTTTACGTATTTCTCCCAATTATCCCTAGAAATCTCCCCGATAACCCTTTCCCATGTTGCCAAAACCTCTTGTGGTGATCCCTTAAAATTTGCAATGTACTGATCGTATTTTCGTTTACACTGAGACCACACCATTTCAATCGCATTAAATTGGCAGTGGTATGGCGGTAACCGTAAAATTTTATGTCCTAAAGGCTTAACATATTCATCAAGGTAGTACTTTTTCTCTTTGGGACAGTTTGCGCTGACAATGCTCCATATTTGATCCTTCATTGCCTTTTCTGGATAGCCGATATTTTTTTCCCCTAACCATTCTATCATTCTTTGTTTTGTCCATGATTTGGTGGGAATTTTCTCTAAAAGGCCAGAATGGTAGCTTGCGTTGTCCATAATAATTAAAGATTTTTCAGGAAGATTTGGCACCAGTTGAGTCTTGAACCAATTTTCAAAATTACCCCTGTTCATATTATCATGATAGTCCCCTGTTTTTTTTCCACTTTTAAAAATCAAACTTGCCCCACCAATAAAGCCATCGTTCGTCCCAGCGTGGACAATAATGTATCGATGACCTAAAGAATATCTCTTTTAATAATATTGAAAAGGTATTATAATATCTTATTTTACCTTCATTGGGTTTAATTGATTCCGTGTGCTTAGTATCATCTTGCCAGCTGTTTCGAAATGATCCCTTACTAAATATCCAGGTTTCATCCATAAAAACCGGAGTATAACCCTCATGTCCCAAATTTTTGTTTTCAATGTACTCCCTTAAGAATTTTATTCGTTTGTGGACAATATCCGGTAAATCCATAAGATATTTTCTGTTATTGGACTTCTTCCATTTAAAACCCATACTTTTGATCCACTTTCTCAATGAATCAATGGAAAATTGAAAATATTCGTTTTGCTCCAGAAATTTTTGTCTAATAGTTGCCAGTGTAACATATTCCTTTTGGGAGTACATATAATAGATTGTATCCCGAATTTTATTCTTCAAATATTCTGTGATTTTCGTCTTGTTAATCTTTTGCTTGGTAGAGACGTATGTGCGTTGGACGCTAACCACAGGGTATATCTCGGCCATGTCCCGGAAATGCGCTTTTTTGCACTATGTTGGTTGTCCCTTCGATTTTTGTTCACAAGTCACTCCTTCGAGTTATGAATACGTAAATTTGATCTGAGTTACTTCTAATATAAAATGAAGATCCCTGCGCAGCTTATCAGTTAGAATATAACGTACCAAAATATCCATTAAGGGCGAGAAGTGTAAATTTAACGAAAAATGTTAAAACTATTGCAAAAGAAATGTAAAGTTTGTTAGGCTATTTCTCAGACATATTTAGGTTTACTACGGGCAGGATAAACGGATGCTCAAAACCTTTTCTACAGTATGCAGGAGAGATCATGAATTAGCCCCCCCCCCTCCCCCTTTCTGTCACTTATGGTTTTAAAATGAAGTAGATAGACCACAAAACGTTGAGAAAAGCCTTTGCAAAAAAATTAATAATTTCTTCAAGGTATTTGAACGGTTGACACTGCGATCGAATGATGAAGCATGTAGCTATCGTACCTATGCCAATTTGTGCGCAATAAAAAAAATCAAAAGCGTCTACGCAAAATCGACACCAAAGTAACTAACCAAAATGGGCGCAAAATGGGCACTTACTGATGAAATTCTTTGGACTAAAGCTTAGTCGGCAAGTGAGGTAATCTTAGGAACCGCATGATGGTATCACTGTTTCCCAGTTACAAAGGGTGGATCGTTTCAGATGCGCCACCCCGTGTATTTAAGTTTGTACTTAACTAATTAGTCAATGGTTAGCCTAATCGGAGGATGAAGGGCTGTAATTGTTGGCAAGTGTAAGATGTTTCGTTGTTGAATACAGTTACTTCGTTTCAGTACTACAATTAAGTGATGTTCAAATTTGAACACATCACTGTAGTACACACAGTCCAATTCTGCCGAAAAGATTTTGCCACGCATAACCAAAATCATACCTACTGAGAATGCTGGGTGGACCTAGAGCCCATATAGGATCAAAAACCAAGATGTAGTTTTTGGGGCCCTATTCCTGGGAGAATAGGTTTCAAAAAGTGTACGTTTCATTTCGTAATGGGTTAAAGGAAGGCGAAGGAAGGCATACCTACGTTTTGAATATAAATCACATTTTCCCAGCATTGGCCATAATTAGCCAATTACGTTAAACGTCCTACCTGTAATTGTAAGATCGTTAAACAAAAAGCAAACAACGGAAAGTGCGAACGGAAATAGAAAATATCTGGCTTAATATCTAAACCAATTTCCAACAGTTATTTAATTCGTTGCACTAATAATAGTGCAAGGTTGCATCGTGCATAATTGACGTCACACGGTCACTCTTCCTCTTCTGTAAAGGGAATTTCCTCATTCTGTTTCACTTTATGCAACCTTGCGATCGTTTGGCAATTTACGCGACCCTGACGTATCTGCATATATCGCTCAATGTTAAGTGAATTATTGGATCTTGTTAAAATATTGGCTTAGGTGTCTATGCTTTTAAGCTCGTAGGTAGGGGAGCTCGTGATCTACATTTGAAAAATGTCCAAAGATGGGTCAAAATTTTTGTCGGTTCCACACACGAGTGACCTAGAACTTGAACAGCTCTTATCGAGTAACATTCACGCTTTAATAATTATGCGATTTAACGGCTTTTTAATTATGAAAACGCGATGACGTTTTGATAAGTAAGGTCACGTAGATAAATAAGATGCACTTTACTAAACGATTTCTCTTCTTGTTTTAGGGTGATGATTGACAATTAGCTCACCTTCGGAGCACCTGTCAGCATGCGACAGGTAAGAATAGTAATTGTATCTGTGTGCATAATGAGATTCAAGGCGTTAAATTTGAAGTAACCTTTAAAACATCGCGTGGCTTTATGCATGATGAAGTTACTTGATCTTGGTAATAAATGGAGTACAACTGCATCATACGAAGGTCAGGGGTTATGCAAGCTGAACTTTTGACATTTCACGGATTGTGGAACTGCAGGTGATATGCAGTTTCATGCTCGTTATCAATAGTTTAAACCGCCCCAAGGGAAAATTTGAAATTTATTAATATTTCATAGTGTGACCCTTTCCCATTGAAGTTCAGTCAGACTTTTCTCACACGGACCCGTACCTTCAAACAAGGAAACGCTACCTTCCAAAAGCAAAAACTTAGAGATTAGGCTGAAAATGCTCCCTTTCACAATTTTTGTGTACATTATCTGCCAAAAAGCCAAATCACCATTGCCTGGCATGCATGGTATCCTCGTTAGGATTCTATTTCTTTATAAATTACTCCACGCCTAGACAGAATTCCTTTGTTTATCCAACTATTTTAATCGGGACAAATTATTTTCTGATTCTCATGCGTTATGTATGTATAATCCGATTGCTTCTGTGGACATTTTCTATTATTTTGGTTCTCTCTTCAAACTTTCTTATTGGTTTTACTTATATACCTTCTCACCCTCTGTATCATTTGTGTTTCTTTCCATTTATGGTAAGATTACATTTGCATAAGTGTGTACTGTTTCTGTCTGTTCTACTGTTTCATATTAATTGGGATACTAAGCATGGAAACAAATAAATTAAATGAACAAAAATATCATCAATTGGGATTTTTTGGGTAACTCCTAAAGAAGCTAAAGGAGAAATTTAGAATGAAGTTGAGAATTTTCATTCGTATGAGGTTTCCATGTTGTCCATTTTTACTTAGACACCCTGTATAGGGTGAATCAACCACATTTTAGAATTGTTAATCGTACCCTTTCTTGGACCGGTTATTTATAGACGTCCTTGTAATATGGCCCAAGTCATAGGTTATGATTCAGGAATCAAGATTAAGCCAAAGTCGTTATTTATGTAGGAGTCTCGTGGGAATAAACGCCCAAATTAATTGAATCGATGGTCAACATACAGGGTTGTGATTTAATAACGGATAAATTCAATAAAAATGAAATGGAAGCTGGTTCGGAAATACCCTCGGATCTAGTCGATTTTGTGTTTGGATTGTTATATTTTGACACAAAGTGTAGGGAATTATCAGAAAATATTTTGTTTTGCAATGGAAATTACAATTAGTCCAGAGAATGAGTGCTCAAGAGCGAGGAGGAGTGTAGAATACAATAAATATGCGAGACTGTTTGACTACAGGACTTTGTTAGGAGTAGTAATAAGCATGTGAGAGAGGGGGGGGGGGCAGAGGGGACATTTTTTGGTTGATTAATTGTACCTCGGAAGCGGTGGACTATATAAAATTTTCTACATGAAAATAAGAACTAATGAAATTTCATATAAAATTGCTTCCATACACATTTGTCGAATTTTCAACGACTTTGGAAATATACGTTATTGAATATCGATAATTTTCGAAAAATTCATTTTTACCCAACTCTTTTTGTCAAACATTTGCTTATAAATCCTCCAACGATCGTTTCTCACGTGTGGATGAATCTAACGTGGTGTTCTTTTAAATACTGTTAGATTTCAAACTTTGTATGTATGTAGTTACACATTTGCAAACGATCAAAAATTGAAAACTTGCCATTTACATTCGAAAGGATCGCGCACTTCCTCTTTTGTCAATGAATTCGACAATCACGATTGACAATGAAAAAATTTGCCATGGAATCATTTTTGCTTTTACAGCGAATTTCCATCTCCCAACCCTCCAGCACTATTTAACGAATAAGGAGGTGCAGAAAGTCAGTACTATACAAACTTCTTAAGGACGGTGACTTAATTAATTTTGAATTTGTTGTTGATGGGGGATCCTTAGTCCACAAAGTTGTTTAGCAGGAAAAGACAACTGTGTTAACCATTTGCGATGGTTACGCACGAACCTAATAGTCCACTGTTTCCGAGGGTATAGGTAATTAAATGGTATCTCTGGCCCCCCCCCCCCTCCCTTCCGAGGAGCATGAACTTTTAGTATGGTTTTCTACTAACTGTACCTAACAAATTGCTGAACTCTACAATATTTTCATTGCTAGGACTAAAAGTAATTATATTGTTCACTTGGGCAGGTTTTAAAAGTCAATTTATCCAAATGACGACTCTGTTGGGCGATATTCACCCTTTCAACTGCGACCAAGCCTATTCTTCTACGAACGATGGCCCAGGACCTTGTCAAACATGATTACTACTATTCTTTGTTCAATAATAGGTTGGTAGGTATGGAGGAGTTTTTTAATTTCGCAAATTTGAAACCTTTTTTTAGTATTAAAATGGTCAGTTAGTCAGAAAAAGAATTTTATTGAGAATAGTGCTATCCAAATATTGAATAAAATAAACTTTTTCTAAACGTAAATCGACGAATTCTCAGTAAAAAATAGATACTACAAAAATAAAAGTACAATTGAAACAATCACAGCAAACATTTGTCTTCCAATGTGTATGTGTATTAAAAAAACTAATAATTAACTAATAACTAATTATAAAAAGGAGGGGCATTTACTTTTCGTCGTACATGTAGCTGTAGAACGATGTTTGCCCAATTGAAGACAATACTACGCGATCAAAAATTAGTTACTGTCATGAGAAATCGTACTTAACTTGAACTTCCAAAAGGCGACTCGACAGCAACTCATTTTTGATCGCCCGTTATAAGAAAACGCATAAGTTTCACATATTGGGGAGTTATGGCCGCAAGAATGGCAAGAGTTGCGCACTTGGCACGCTGAAGCACGTCCATTTCTGGCTGTAACAAGGTGCGCTAATGATGTAACTACAAAAGCAGGGTGATACATCTAGAATAGCAATTGGGCATACAAAATTAGCCCACAGGTATCTCCTTCTAGGAAAAAAAGCGTCGAGATACCCACAGTGTAAAGCTGCTCCCCTAGATCTAAGAACACTGTGAGAAACTTGTGGAATATAGCGAAAATTGCAATATTAGCAACAATGTTATTGATATCACAAAGAATTGGAGAAAACAATACAAAAATAATAGCATTTTCTAAAATAACCAATTTATACATTGAACTGTGGCATTGTGGGTAGCTAATAATCTTGGCAATTGATGCTCCCTCTACCACTAATTATAGGTACATAAATATACAATAATAATAATAATTTAATAACACAACACATTACAGTTGATAAAAGACAACTTTTAAATTTTGAGCTTGAACAAGGTAATTTTTAAAATCCATGGACGAGAATGAAACTGAAAGCACATAATATTTTGGATTTTTTAAAACATACAAGTATAAAACAAACACTTAGCACACAATACCTACAAAGAATACCTACGCAGTATACTTAAAACAAAGTTATCATAAAGTTATCATAAAACTATTAAATTAGAACAAATAGATTTACTTGGTGACGAAGTAGAGGCAAAGGACATAATAATAATAATAATAATAATAATATCCGTTTATTGAAAAAAACAGTGAACAAAAAAGCAGGTGCAGTAAAAAAAAAGAAAAAAGACATAGAGGAAATGCTCACCGTTAAGTTCAAAAGGGCGAAGTTCAGATTGGTAGTTAAAAACTCTACCATCTGTTCTTCCACTTAACCCTTGCTTATTTAAACGAAGTTCCTAGTCAGCCAATGATCGATATCACTTATGTGTATGAGATTAAAACTAAAAAAAGAAAAGGGCTTAGAGAGACCTATGTTGTTTTTCTAGCAGTGACATCCGCATATATTTTTTAAAATTTTTCATTGTAGAGGATTTTATATGAGATGAGAGTGAGTTATATATCTTCGGGACGTAATAGCTAAAAGATCTTTTAAATAAAGTTGTTTTATGAATTGGGATTGAGATGAACATTCTACTTCTTGTATTTAAATTATGAATATTAGTTCTAAATTTGATTCTATCGTGCAGATACCCAGGAGTTTTGTTACAAATGATTCTATGGATAAAACAAGCTGTATGATAATTTCTCAAATTAGACATATTTAACCATTTAATGTCATTTAGTTTGTGTGATATTCGGTGAAATTTTCTTATTCCAAATATAAGTCGTAGGCAAGAATTCTGCATACGCTGGATTCTTCCACTGTCTACCGCATCCAAACATGGGCCGTATATATTATCACAATAACTAAATTGTGATAGTACTAATGACTCACAAAGCAATTACAAGCACAGAACCCCAAAATCGTCTACAAATCCTTGGTAATTGTGAAGTGAGGGTGACAGATAAACTGCCAAAAGTATAAAAATTGGATTAGTTATTATAATTTTAGGAGATAAGTATTCAAAATTTGTTGTTGCCTACGAACGCTCAAATGTTTTATGCTATTTTTGTGCTTGATCCTCCTCTTGAACTCCTATGATTTCGAACAATGTGTAGGTACATGAAAATAAGACTAATTGCCTCTCTAATTAGCATGGCCACTTCTCGAATTTCCACACAATTAATGTTTTCATATCGATGTGAAAGATAAAGAAAGTGAACACCCTTTTTTTATTTCTTTTCATAGAATTGTTATTCCAAAAATATTGACCAGTACGGCCGTCTCTGAAAAATGAAACAGATCACAGTTGGAAGAAGTTTCTCTACGGTTATCTATACCAAGTGTTTCTCAACGGGGGCCTTGGCGTATTTTTTAGGGACCACGAACGAAAGACAGAAGATTAGTAGGCAACGGAAACTTTTCAGTGGGCCACGAAAATTCACTTCTACACTGAATTAAAATGGTTAAGTATGTCTGATCGAAGGTTGTTACATTCTGCTTGTGTATATCATCGCCTAATTGCTTATCAATAGCCATCTTACCTATTTAATAAAGTAACTCTTAGAACGGATGTCCATAGTATCAACATTAGATCAAAGAATATTCTAACGGTACCGATTCATAAAACTGCTCTATATCAACGTTCATTCAGTTATAACATCTGCAAAATTTATAATTCCGTCAGTCCGGCTTTAAAATCTTGTGACACACCGTCATTTAAGAGGCTCCTTTACAAGTCTTTACTGCAGAATCAATAAATTAATGGCGTTTTCTGTTCTTTTACTTGTTTCTCCAATATGTCTTAACTGCCATAAATGATTTAACAATTTATTTTAAAAGGGTGAAGTGGGAGAGCAGATGGTATGGATACCGTACCAATCTGAACTTCGCCCTTTTGGGTTGTCACATAAATTATTTTTTAGTTACTATCATAAACTTGTAAACGGCAACTCAATAAACGACTATTATTATTATTATTATTATTATTATTAAATATTACGAGTAAATAAATTTACCAAAAATTGTCAGTACAAAAATTATCCAACAATTACCCCTTATCCTTGTGTGTGTTATCTCAGTGTACCTTTCCTAAAAAGCATTAAATCCTAATCACAACTTTAAATTTAAATGTTTATAGATGGAAAACGCAAAATGCAATTGATAGACGGGTACCGAAAAATGTTAATTATTTTTTTGTAACACGACTAACACCCCTCTACCGCCTACCAGGATTACTTTTCTGTACAGATTAGTTTTTCTACATCTTTCAGAGGCATTTTAAAAAAAATTTCAGCGTCAAAACAAAAAATGAGCTTGAAAATAGTTTCTTTATAACTAAACAATAACTCAAATTAATTTTGATATAATTCTAAAGTGTTTAAAATATTGAAATGTCACATTTAATAGCCTATATTCTATACATTTTTGTGCAGTCCGAGAAAGACGTAAATGAGTCTAAAAACGAATATAAAGCTACTAAAATTTCAAAAATTTCCCGGGGAATGACCCCATACCCCCCATTCCCCTGCGGTCTAACGCAGAGGGGGGGCCACAGAGATAATAACATTCACAAGTAGGTCACCAGTAAAAAAAAGGTTGGGAAGCACTGATCTATACCAACTCTAATTGGCTGATTTTTCAAACTCCGTCTCCCGATTACAAATTTGCTCTCTTTGTAGAATGTAGTCATAATTAATGCAATTATGGGGAGCATTGTATCAATTCAATTTATTTTCATTTTAGTTGCTTTTGCCACCTTTTTGTGCAACTTGCCATGTAAAAACCGCATTTGTTCAGCGATTTCGTTAGCAGTGAGCAAAACAGTGTTTACTCTAGTAATGCGCATATTTTCTCATGGCACGTAATAAACATTGAACGTTGGAAGATAAAATCTTTCTATGGTTTATCGTTTTCAACTTGCGAGATCTCAATCAAATAGAAAGGCCTATTGGTTCACGATCATAGGGAAGGATCTTTTTTGTGTTCGTTTCTCATTTTGCTGTGATTTATGCTTGAAAAATCAAAACTATCGGGTTTAAAAACAATACATAATTGCAAACGGTTTTTCTTGTAAAATGCATCACTATCTTTTTACCGTTGCACCTGGTAGGATTGCAATACTTCTTCGCTTTGCAAAAGTTAAAGTCCAAAATTTCGTTATTTGTTTTTCTGGAGTATTCAGGGTTTGAATATTATCCCTTTTTATGACACACTGCAACTTTTGGAATAGTATTTTGCTGCCATGAGTATCTTTAATGTAAACACAAAGAAATTGCGAAATAAAAATGAGGTTAAAGTAATGAAAGGGATCGTGCCCCTTGTGAAAAATAAAATGCAACGTATGCATATAGGAAAACTATCACTGCTTCGGCATAATTTCACCGTGCAAACCCTATTGTTACCCTCAAGTATCAAATCAATATGAACAAAAAAAAAAGGATGAGGTTCGCTGTGCTAAGTGAAAGGAAGATATGGGTCAGTAAGTGCAGCGGGTATCGATCGGCGCCGCGACGGCAATTGCATTCTGCACTACGTCACTGCATCTCTGACGTCACGCGCCCCATGTTATAATTTTATATTTGCGTTATGCACTCTTTTACGTATTCGTTAGCGATGGCGAAATTAATACGATTAATTTTAGGGCATAATGGAGGAAGGTGGGGCGCGCTCTGAAAATGACTTCGACGTTAACAACGTCAGAGAGGAAGACTTCGAGCAATATACAACATACATAGTTCCCGACATCCCCGTCGATCCGGGTACGCCAAATCGAGCAGAGGGCACACTTCCTAGGAATTTACTGTTGAAACCCTCACAGGCTTTGTCAGATGTATGGATGTAGTGTTACCGTTGGCTAAGTTTACTAATGTAGGCGTTCTGTTTAGGCGCAAGGCGTTTGGAGCACAGGATATATCCCACGAGGGACACGCTTTGGGCCTCTCGTGGGAGAAGTCTACGCCAAAGATGCGGTACCAAGCACCGCAAATCGCAAATACTTCTGGAGAGTAAGTTTTATTCGACTTTTTCTGTGCCTCTCTTCGCAACACGTGGTTGTGGTCTGCTAACGCTTTCTCTTTTTTTGGTGTAGGTACAGTTACGAGAGGACTATTTCCGAAAAAGCTCTATTAAATATAAGGTACTTACTATACTTTGTACATATTTTTTTCTGTTTAATTTTACTTTGCTGCGAAACTAAAACCGAAAGCACACCATTTTATGGTTATTTGGTATTATAAGCTCACTAATTTTATAGTACCATAAACATAGAAGGGCCACTATATTAGGCTTCTATATGTAAAAACGTGCTCATCAGACCTTGCAACTTATAACAAGTTTATTTAAAATTTTTAGATATACAAAGACAATGAACTCTATTACTACATAGACGGGTACGATACCTCGAAAGCGAACTGGATGAGGTACGTGAACCCAGCGTACTCAAGCGAATCCCAGAATTTAATCGCCTGTCAGTATAAAATGAATATTTATTTTTACACGATTAAACCAATTCTTCCTAATCAAGAGCTATTAGTATGGTATTGTAGAGAATTTGCGGAAAGGCTTAATTATCCACTGACGGGGGAGCAAATGCTTCAGAGGATACGTATGTATACCTGGAAATTGCAAAAGCGAAGTGTAACCTCATTACTTACAGGGCAACAAGTACAACAATCAACCGAAGTGATATCTGTGAGTACTACAAACGATTCCTGTACGAAAGAGCCGTCCACTTATGAGCATCAATTAACCCCCACTGATGGTAGTGTGCGATCAGATGAAGGGTATCACAGCAATGGATACCACGATGACGCTTTTACTCCCCCTGAAGATTCCAGTGATTCCGACAGCGAAAGCAATTACGTGTTGGATTTTAGTAAAAAAACCCCCGCCCCAGAGGCTGCCGTTGTGAAACAAGTGCCTACAACGGAGCAAAAGAACGAATATCGCAAAGTAAAAATTAAAATATCCAAAGCGTACCACTACAAAACGAAGAATTCGGAAAGTGACCCCGAATGCGATAAAGAAACTAGCGGAGAGCTACCCCCCGAAGCTGCACCACGAATAGTGACACCCCCTAGCACGGTTATCGTTTTAGATTCCCCCCCTCCTGAAGTTCCTAGCAAGCCTTTTTACGAGTCTGAGGTCAAAAACGAAACCATCATAACCAGATACACGCCGCCCACATCCAGTATTTTAGAAAATATTCTCTTACGAAATAGGATCGATACTAACAATAACAATAGTAACCATAGGCAACCTAACGCAACACCACCACCAACGTCCCCAACGGAGATGGCGTACTCTTATAAGAAAAGTCATCGATACGGAACTGTACCGTGTAGTCCCGATTCAAGTTCAAACTTGCCGCTGCAAAATGTCGGCCCACCTCCACCAGCACTCATAAAAAGTCATTCACCTAGTCCGGCACCGCCAAACTCAGTGTATTTATCCCAAACCTCAGATTCGTACAATCACATGCAACCGGCAAATTACTATAACATCTATCAAGCCAACGGAATGGTTCACACGACACCCGCTGCCCCATATTCTCCTCCCCTAAGCGCCAATTACGGAAATGCGCACCACACAAACTCAAACCTTATCCTACCCAACTCTCATATAGTCACTCACCACCTCCTCACACCTCTAGCCCCAATGCCGCACGGCAGCAGCAGACCCTCACCCCCGCACTCACTTAGCCCAGATCACCTATCCAGCGGACGCAGTTCGAGCCCATTAGGTCCGAATGGCACCAGAGGCTACAAAAGTCTACCTTACCCCCTCAAGAAGAAAGACGGGAAAATGCACTACGAATGCAACGTTTGCTGCAAGACGTTCGGTCAGCTCTCCAACCTTAAGGTACACCTTCGAACGCACAGCGGCGAGAGACCGTTCAAATGCAACGTCTGCACGAAATCGTTCACCCAACTGGCACACCTACAGAAACACCACCTGGTGCACACCGGCGAAAGGCCGCACGAGTGCGGCATTTGTAAAAAGAGATTTTCGTCTACGTCAAACCTAAAAACACACCTGAGGCTGCACAGCGGCCAAAAACCTTACGCTTGCGATTTCTGTCCGGCGAAATTTACGCAGTTCGTTCACTTAAAATTACACAAAAGGCTGCATACGAACGAAAGGCCGTACATCTGCCAGGAGTGTGGCAAAAACTACATCAGCGCTTCTGGTTTACGAACGCATTGGAAAACGACAAGCTGCAGGCCAAACAACATTGATGATGAAGTCAATGGAGATAGCTCGCCTAATAGTTATTACGATTATGGAGGATATGAAAGTAAGTACACTTCGTTGTCACAATACCATTTCTTAAAAATCACGACCTTTTGCTGTTTTTTTTATTACGCGTTTGCTGGGAAAGGTAACCCTCCCCATTAAATACTTAGTTGATTGAATTTGTACTGTGAACTGTGCACAAGTTTCCACTAATCATTTTGTTTACAAACCTTTAGATTCAATCGACATGAAGAAAGAATCACTCGACGACAAGGAGAGCTTCGATCTTCACTCGCCCTCTCAAATAAGTCGGCCCGGTCTCCACCCAGGCCTGCCGCGACAATTACCTCCACACAGTCTTCAACCCGTAAGTCAGAGGCAAGGCACCGGTCCACCTCCTCCTCCGCACCACACGAACAAGGAGACGAGACCGAGCGTCATTGAATCTTCTCAACCCCATATAATTGAATGTACCTAAGATGTATTTTTGATGCTCACTGTTAGTTTTTAAGTGTTGTTAAGTTTTAAAAAATTTATTTATTTTGAATAAGTCGTACTACATTTTTGTTTTATGTTTTACAAATTGCCCGCGATTGAAGGTCTTCGGTCGGGGTGGCAACTCTTTAAATGAAGTATTGTGAAAAAGACCCGAATTATAAATTTAAAAATGGAAAAATTAGACTGATACGAAAAAGCAATATTTCAATTAAGAAAGCTACATTTCTTGTCAATGTGTAGTGTTTCGTACATGTTCGTGTTTAAATGTTTGTAGTTCAATTTGTGTTTTTTCGTTTAGAATTTATAAGGTGTATTCTGCAATTTATATTCCAATAGTTATAAAAATCCTATGCATAGTTGGATTACGTAAAAATATACCAAAAACCAAAATAGCAACCAGTGATCAGTATCGTATTACATTATATGCGTACCTACATATACATTTTGAGTCATTTGCTACTAATTGTATAAAGAAGAGAAACTTTGTATCTGACGTACACAAATATATTTAATGGATTGGAGGTGATATGCTATGGTAGGATTTTGATTTGCCACATTCACGCGTCTTTGTATTTTGATATGAACGATATGTTTTTCCACTGAGATGAAAATGTGTAAATTGTGTGTATATTTAGAACAGTTGTAAATAGGTCAAAATTAGGTACCTACTTTAAATTAATGGAGGTTCTATATTTTTAGCACCAATAACAGCTAATTTGTAAACGCCCTGTAAATTATTTTAATAGATAGATTGTAATAGTAGGCACATAAACAGACAGTAGTCTTATTGTTACTTTTAGTATGTACTGTGTACAATTATTGCCTTTATTTCAAGTTAGAGTTACGTTTCAACAGACCAAATTTAATAGTACCTATTTATTACATAATTTATTATTCCAGCTATAGGATAATTCGTTTTGCCTACTTACATTATTTGATTAGTTTAAGTAGGTACCTTTAAAGCGCATATTTCGGGATTGCAGAATAATTTAAGACTTAAAGAATAGTACCTTTTTAAATAATTATTATTTATTGTGTTTGTCATGATCTTCATTATTTATTATTTCAAACTACTTCATAAGCAAAACTTTACATGTAAAAATGTTCATATTATTATAATTAAAGGTAAACAGATTATCTGATTATTTTCCACGTCGCTAGGGGTACGGTTAATTGTCATGATGCCTTGAATAAAAAAGTTAGAATTGCGCATCCGCACCTTCAGACGTTTAGCTTTGTTGCGTTGTAATAACATATTTTCAATGCCCCTATAAAAGTATATTGTTTAAATTGCATAGGTTAACAAAGTTATGTACATCATCTTCCTGTTTAAATTCTTGTGCTGGATGTGGCAGTGCACATTATGAATAAATTGACAAGGGAAAATGCTCACTGAGAGGGCGCCATTAGACACGAACATAGTTCTATGTAAAGATCACTGTAATAATATACCTACTTAAAGTCAGATTATGGCGCCATCGCCATTGAAATGCACAGTTATTGTTCCACCCAAAATATTTTTCTTTAGCATTAATTAAATCGTTTAAATATTCATTTGAAATGTGCTTAACGCATAACATATTATTCTTCATTAATCATACTATCCAATTTTTCTAATCGTTATACATGGTTATACCAAATACAGAATTCATAATTTTACATTTATGTAACTATTGAAATCTGCAGTTATTTTGAGAGGCGTTTAGTTTAGAAATAGTTCCCTTTGGTTTGACGAAGGTATCAAAGATGCTGATGACCTATATATTATTACTATAACAAATTATGGCGCAATATTATACGAAATTGATTTTGGGCGAGAGCGTATAGATAAAAAAAACTAGGGAGCCTATTTAAAATAAGGGTCTAGGTACCTACCAGTGTAGGTTAACTTCCGCAGAAATATCGTATCCGTACAGCCATTGACGTCATTATTCATTACTGTTTTATTTCCAATCTTAGCTCGTCACTAGCGTTTTGACCATTTCCTCCAGTAGATTTTCGTGTATCGTGACGAAAACGTTTGTTTCGCTCCAAGGGGATTGTAAGAGTCATCTCTACAATCAAAGGTGTGAAATTGAGTTTGAAATTCACTATAAGCATTGCTTAAATAAGTTAAATACTTTACTATAAGCATTGAAAGAAAAATAGTGTTTTTATTCAATGCTATAAGTTACTTTGGGTAGGTAATACCGTCAGGTTCGTTATTACCATTGAATAAAAACACTATTTTATTCAATGTTATTACGTACTATTATGAGTGTTTAAATCTGTGCTATTATTAGCTACTTATAGGGTGAATTTAGATGCAACCAGTGTCCATCAATATGTTAGAAATAATTTGCGATGGGATTGAACCTAAGGAATAAAACATAGTGTGGAATCTGGTTGTTCTATTCTATTCATAAGGGCAGCTCGACCTAACAGCCCTTAGGCACAGATCCCGTTTTTTTCAATAAACAAAACAAATGCGTAGTTTTTGGAAAAGATTTAGGTATGATTTATCCTGTACCTACATTTTTAAACTTTTCTTTTATGCCTTCCCTACTACGAGTACCTACACATATACAGGCTGATGATTCAAATTCGAGGAGCACCATGGGAATCTCGGCAACTGTAAGAGATAGGTGGGTAGTTTAAAGTGGCGTATTATGAATCTTAACGAAATGCCGTTTTGGAACTGAAAAAAATCCGACTACTTTTGGAAATATCTAAAGAAAACGAAATTTTGCAAAATCGTTTTTATTTTTTACCGAAGTTATTAAAAATTGATTTATTTATGTTCAGCTAAATGATTGGGATGAAAACCTTTTTAATCTGTTTACGCCATTCTCTGATGGATGTTTTCCTGAACGAAACAGAATATGTATTTTATTACTACTTGTGGTGCTTTTTTTAATATACGTTTTTTTTTGTTATTTGTCGCTAGTTCTCCTATGAAGTCGAATTTTCAATTAGACTGTCCAGGTAGAAGTAGGTACGGTAGACTAGTTTCTTTTGTATAATGTGATAAGAAAATCATTTTGGTGGTTTGAATATAATTTTGTACTTCAAGGTCCCGCCAAAACGGCTACAAATTGATTAGAATATTGTTATTCGTTAGTGACGGTTGGAGCATTGAACGCGATGAGTTGTCGTGTGTTGTTCCACTGAACCTCTCCGTGTTGAGGGTGTGGTGTTTGGGGTAAGTCGTTTCTTTAATTTTGTATTGGTATTTTGGATATCGTTCTACATTACTACATATATAGACACAGAGCAATGATTCATGGACCAACAATCTATGTTCGTTTTTACCTGTGAAGGTATCGAATTGAATCAAACTCAATCTCTTCAAGGATCTCCCCACTAATACTAAACAATAATTTTGGGTAATCGTGGAGAAAAGTTATTATACAGTGTGTCCCCGGATTGTGTTCACTATACGTGTAATTGATCAAACATTTTGAATCTTGTTTTGAGGCTTGCTTGGTCTGAAAACAGTTTCAAGCTAATTTTTACTCTTTAAAGTGCAAAATGGCCGTGACAATTGAGATAAAAATAATTTTATGTTTATAGGAAAAGTGCCATTTCGGTCTATAATACGGCAAACAATAAAAACCATTTTTACAAAAACTTCAAAAGCAGAAGCTCGCTAGATATCATTAAGAACCTCATATGTCACGAAAATTGTTGCGAATGGCGGCACTCTGTCTCATACAGTAATGTAATTGTAATAATTATAATAGGTAAATTGTTATTTACTAAACAATAATTAGCAAAACAGCTCTACCAATCAATAATTTTGACCACAATGTTGTATAAACGACGATATACGGGGTGGTGACGAACGCACCATAGGAATTTCAATAGTAATTTTTTAATTTCCGATTATTGGCTTTCCTAATCATTTTAGAAATAAAGTCTGTTAAGGTTTTTTGTAGAGAGACAAATTACGAATCCGTACATACTATTGCTTTCTATTTTATAAATTCAGAAACAGTAAAAATTAAAAAATGAAAAACTGTCGCGTTTATGAAGTCGGAAATGCCATGGAATTATGAAATCAAACAAAATTTGCCATTAGTTAGCTTTGTTTGATCTCAAACTGCCATGGTACCACTGATTTTCTTAAAAGCGACAGTTTTTAGTTATCCAATTTCATGGTTTCAAAGTTAAAAAAATTAAATAGTATTCATGGTTTCCTTTATATCTGAAATAATTTGGGAATCCAATAATCAGAAATGAAAAAATTACTTTTGAAATTCCAATGGTGCGTCGTTCAACTCACCATCCGGTATCTCGGTAAATAACGACTGTATACTCATATAAAATTTTTCTTTATAAAAGTTGTTTAACCTTTTATGGCCCATTTTTAATTCACAAAACAAATGAATCTCTAAAAACAATTGATTACCAATGTACCTTTTCATTAGGCTAATTTTGTATAGATTTTTTTCTCTTTTCGATGGCGTAACATGTACCACTATACAACATAATTTTTCAAAAAAATTTCTGAACTCTTCAGTAAGTAAATATTACATCAATAACATTAATCTAGATATCCTATATCAAAATAAAACAAATAAACGTGTACGTTGCCTTTAAAACAACAGTGACCCAAATCGTTACAAAATACATCTCTTGGCAGCCAAAATACCTCAAAATGTTCGGACTTTTTTCAGTTTTTCCCTTAAAACAGTCCATATTTTAGGAATAACACTTCTTTAGTAAAATAAACAAAACACAATTCTGCGTCGATCAAAAGATGAACTAACAAAATCGGACCAATAGAAAAATTTTTACAAGCGATCAAAAAAATCCCTTAAGCTCCCCGTCAATTCCTGGAGATCCACGGAAATCCCTGAAATCGGATAAAATTCCTTATAAATCCTCAGAAATCCTTTAGAAATTTTCTTAAATTCTTCCCTATAACTGCTTGACACTCCATTCCAATACTGTACTACCATCCCTTTCATATAGGAAAACCTACACTTCCTCATACCTTCTCACAATTTGTACAGTACAAATTACCTATAATAACAATACGTACTTGCGATTGTTATATTTCAAATACTGCCTGGAAATATTGACTAAAACAAGTAGAAGCTAATTTATTTTTGAACGAGCCAAAGAAATCTATTTCAGTGACAAAATGCAATTGGAAGGAAAGTCAGATTTTGACTTTTTCCATGTGAAAATGAAAATTAATTTAGAACACAACCTCATGGTTTAAAAATTGTAGTTCACATGTCATATCTTATCAGGAACGACTTCATTCGGTGCGGAAAAACAATTATTGAAAGGTAAAAGTGACCGCATGTGCAGATAAGTGCATTAGGTGATTAATCTCTCTCTGCTTACGTTACCGCCCCTCCATCAAAAATATAACTTATGACCAAATCATGCGATCGTGTTAACGCGAAGTGCAGTGCATCTTGTGCGGAATGGTCTCCAAAAATTTCAAATGGTTCGAAGGAGAGTGCCTAGTACCGAAAGCAAGAAAGCCAAGGGTGAGTTTTGACAAGCACCGATTAGGTACCGCGTAAAATGCAGTAAGTAATTTGGATTTTTATATTTAAACATTGGGCATACAATGCAAAATGATTTTGGAGTTGAACAATAGATAAAGGGTGACTAAATATGGAAATTTACCTCAACCCATGTAACTGTCGTTAGTTTCAATAAATCATTTTCCAAATCAAAAATTTATACTTACACGAGAATTACAATCATCTTATCTATCCGACTTTAACGTTGGAAACACATGTGCAGTCTATTGTGTCGGCGGCGTCGGCATTTTAAACAGGTGTTTGGAGTCGGTTG